TTTAAAAGCGCAAATTGCCCACCAGTAGCGGTTTATTAATGTCGCAGTTCATTTGCCAACGTTTAGTGTGTTACTTACCCAAGTATCGATCCACCGTATGAGTTTAACGTACGTCTGCTAGAACACTATGTTTCGGTGTAAGGGAATATGCTTCAAAACTGTAATAAATTAGACGAGACACTAACCTGGTTACTGCGTCTCTAACCTGATATTACCTCTTTGCGAACTGGTAAAGTCAGTCAGTCAAAGTGCAGTTTGATCCTAGAGTAATGCAACATGCATGTCCCCATTCGCCAATCAGAAATTCAAGGAATGAAAGATATGCGCTCCTCACCCACCTGAATCAACATACAAGATCATGAAAATAAAATTTAGATGATAAGCGCCAAGTGAAGCAAGTATTACCAATATTGGTTTATCGGTTACAGTGCAGTTATGGTGTTTCGCGGGCAATTCAGACAAAGTAAGAAATGTCACTGACCTCACATATTGCTGATTTTCGTTTTCACATATATACAAGAACACATCAAATAAAGCACTTAGCCTGGTAAAGCCGCCACATGTTTGGTAATTGGTATATGGCTTGTGAGGACAGGCACGAAGGGATCCAGACGATTGCGGGAAACATGTCACATGTATGTAGACTTCAGTGCTTGCCGGGCCAAAACTTGTGGCCCCGTTGGGGATATCCGTACCTTTGGATGGAAAAGATCGATGTTGTATTGGAAGGGTATTTTTCCTGGCATGCATTTGAGAGTTTTCCACCCGACTTTGGTACCGCTGTGAACGTTCTTCGCTAACAATAAAACTTATCTATGGTCGCTTATTTAGACTTACTTTCTTTACATCCGCATTCTATGTTCATATGTCTGTTAGCGCAGTTGCTTGTGGTTTGCGTCGTTTTGTAACCTAGTTTCGGCCAAATAAAAACAAATCAAACTATCCGCAAAATTTGTTATAGCCTTTACGTCTTGACGAAATAAACTCGCGTTGAACAATGAATACGGGATATTATACTGCGTGAGCGAGTAGTAAATAAATCCCTACAGCTCCGTTATGAAAACATGAGCAAATAAAACTAACGTGTCAAATGTTAGTGCTGTTCTCGCTCTTTACTTTCTCATTAAGAGTTATGCACACTGCATAAGAAAACGCACCAATATGCGGTGTCACTGTCAGTCGCATATTGTTCTGTGAAACAAATGTTGGTGTAACGTAAATGCAACAATATTTTATCGATTGCACAGATTTTACCCCAGCGATGTTTTTGACAGGCTGTTCCAGCCATTGGCCGCTCTCTAACAAAAACATAAGGGGCGGAATTCTCGCTACCTATCAGGCTTGTGTAAGTGGGGCCGCGGCTTCAGCGTGGTAAAGTCACCACGATGTGAAACAAGTATTATCTTCTCACCCCGGTTCTCGCAGGATAGACCTCCTAAACTGGGAATGGGCTTGATAGCTATGTGATGGACTGTCTGTATGCAGTGTGTCTCATCTCAGGTGATCGGACAGTAGACGGTTCAGGCGTCAACTGGAATTGATTTTAGGATGGAAATATAACGAAACTAGTGAAATCTTCAGATCCAAGTACTTCAGTTGCATATGGATGCTCAAAGTTTACATGTTCTGTTAAGGTATAGCCTGTTTTGTTGCCAATGGAACTTAAAAATCAGGGTGTAAGTTTACTCAGGTCATTCACGAAAGTTTATAGCTGCCGTGTCTTGACATGTTGGTGTGAGATCGACCATCATCACGCTTTTCAAAGGACAGATATGCAGACAAGGCGGACCTGCCTAGACAACATGATGAGGAGGTTAGATTTTTGGATAAGTAGGCTACTGTCATCAAGGACATCAACTACTCTCATAAGCTTCATTTCATTTACAAACATTGCACATGTTGATTGGTGAAGCTTAGGTAGGTTTTTAATGGAGATTATGAACGTAGTAGGCCCCAGCATTATGTACTGGATACGATAGTGGTCAAACGACATCAATTAGTTAGATGGCGTTGACTTGACTTTAGCGAGCCGCCACATACACTCAGCGTGTGCTGAGGTCGACGTAGATCATGTCGATATACTTTCAGCAGCATAGAGCACACGAAAATTCATGCCTCGCCAAGAGTATTTTTGTAATACGGGCCAAGCTTAGCATGAAGACGTACTGTATTAGCCGAAACTGATCTAGTACACCGTGCTTCTTATTCTCTCGGCAATAATAACCAGAAATGACATTTAAAAAATTGGTGTATTTTTTCTACTTTCTACTCTCGAAATCGCCTTTGCTACTGAACATTTCCACTCACTCGGTACTAAGCCTTCGGACAATGCTTTTTGAACTGATTCGTCAAGACTTGCGAAATCAGAGACAAAAGGGTCTGAAGGACCAGTGGATGGAGGCCGTCATGCCCAGTCAGTTCGGTGCTGTTAAGATTGGCGTTTAAATGGCGCATCTTTTCCATAAGGTAATCCAGAGTGATTTGGTATAGGCAACTGCTCGTTTGCAAATACCGCAGCAAAGTGTAACCCCTATGGTGGATGCCCGCACAGTGCTGGAATTTAGGGGCATCTGCCTGAGCCATTCGGCAATGGCATGTTGCCTGCCTACTTGTTGGGCTTCTAACCTAGGCGAATCTTAACTTCGAGGCAGTCTTCATGGTGGTTGAGAGCTACGATTTGAAATAACAACGACTGCTCGGTTTCCCACTTTCACAAACATCAATCTGCCTTTTGTGTTTTCTTGTTGGCCTGGCCAGATTAGTGGGATGGATCGCACACACTGTACTATCGCTAAGCCATTTACAAGCTTGTTTGTTGAACCGGTTTTGTTTGCAGGGTCAATTTTGGATTACATATTGTGCGATTGGCTTTCGACACGCAATGTTAATGTGCACGACGATTCACATTAAGTGAACTTGGTCACTGCGCTCACTGGCACCGTAGCCGAAGGAGATGGAAATTGTGTGTTGCAGGTTTTGGTTGCTTTGTCAAACTTGCTGATAAGTAACGAGTACAGGCCGGGAACACAACAATATTACCTAGTCTTTTATATATGTCAAAGAGTAGTCCATTAATGTACCTTAAAACTGAGGTCATTCCACAATGTTCGCGGATCAAATTAACTAGTCGAATCCAATATTCCTGTGGCTGTATGCTGTAATAAGGCAAATATATTTTCAAGCTGACTTTGAGCTATGAGTCGTCCATTGTACAGAGAGATCCCAGGATCTTAGTGACATAGATTATTGATTTTAGCTCTTTAACATCATGTCTAGGTGTGACTGATTTGAGCGCGTGTCCGCTAGCATATATGATGTACTGACTCTGTTTCCATTAAGAAATCCACGAGCTATGTCTAGGCTTTATAAAATCCGAGCACTGGTTTACATTCAGACGAGCGCATTCGGTAAGCTTATTTTATTGGTTGAGGTCGAGGGCAATTTTGGCTTTAGAAACGCTGTCACCAATTCAAATATTAGCTGAGGCACTGAGAAAAACTGCAACCACAGTTTTCCTTGCTTGAGGTGGCTCACGCAAAACCGCAATTCGAAAAGATCATTATCGCTTTGGTAGGCGCTGATAATTTACCCGCAGAACGAAGATGAGATTTAGAGATTTCGCAACTGAAGGTGTTTGATCGCTCATCCTAGCGGATGCTCACAGTTCTGGGCTATTAAGTCAGAATGAAACCATGCTTTTGCAAGTTATGATATGCCTAGCCGTCTAGAGGATAAAATATCGAACCATATCATGCTTGTTCAAACGATTGTAAACATTCGTACAGTCTACATGTAAATATGAATTGCGATAAACATTATTTTTGTTGTTAGCCATGTAGGCTACCGTCATTCGCAGCACACTTGTTCCTGGAAGCTAGTTGTGTGAAAGGTGATCCACTTGCGTAATGTTATGAAATGAGAACGCTAAAAATGGCAGTTTAGCTAGCAAACAAATAAAGTGTTTATTCTCGAGATTGTGAGGCAATCCTGCATAGGCATGGTAATTGTACACAAAATGTCACAAGTTAATTACTTGAAAACTTGATCTATGTGCGTGGAAATAAGCTGGTGTGTTTGTGTAGCCACATTTTTTGAATTTTTTGACTGGAAATTTCTGATTTTGTTTGATGTGGTGGACATGGCAGGAATGTTCATAGGAGTTCTCCATACTGTGTGACTGGCTTCTTCGGGGTTGGCAAGATGCAGACATTATTTAGTGGCTGATCACATCCGTCATGCCGCAGTGTGGTTGAACAGCTATTCGTGGCCTTTTGAAAGCGGAAGCTTGCCAAGCGGAAATCCACCGCTTCCTGAAACATTGTGGCTATACCATTCACTGGAACGCGCCTAACATGAACTACACAGGAAGGTTGTTATTCGAGCCAGCCAACTCTAATTAATTTTTGTTGTAAGCCTAGCAATCGTTAGTTTTCTTGGTAAATTCATTTCAAGTCACGGTATCTCAAGTGGCTATATACGATCTGCTCAGGCAGAGGCCAGTCCGTACTGGATTTGTTTTAAAAACTGTCCGTGCATCTGCAGATATAGGCGTGTTGTGTTACTGTTTTTAGCTAAATTAATTATTGCACTAATGAAAAGCCAAAGTCAAGTTCTGTTACACCAAAAATATTACATTATTCCTGAGCTTATGTAGGTCACTTATGAATTGATTTACCTTAATCTTTAACTAATCGACATTGCTTATAAACCATGCCAAAAATAGGCTCAACGGTTCGAATAATTGTGATTTGTTTACGTGTTCACATCACACCAAATGCATTCATAATATCTTACTTCATAATCCTTCACGCAAAGGTTTACTAGCGTTACTGCTTGAAATTTTACGTTTTAAGATGCAGGCGCAATTGTCGACTAATGGGATAAAATGCTGTTATATGCATGCACGTTAGACCATTTGCTTGCAATTATGTTATGTACTTGCGCGCATTCGGGGGCTGAGTTTTCAAAATCTAAATTTGACCCAACGGCGTCTCTTGTAGCATGGACATGGAGGACGACGGTGATCTAGATTCCGTAAGTATGGAACAAAAGTCTGAGGAAACGTGGTCAATTGCCCGTCAGGAAGCTGGTAAGATGATCATTTTACCAAATACGATTAATTATCACTTCATACCATTCTTAGCAAAGCACGGTTTTACCATTCTCCCTATTAATCTGGGTGTTCTTGCTTCGAGTACTAAGAAACTCAACACTTTCTATTTTATGTCGAGAAAAGGATGGGTGTATCCAATATTGTTACCGATTACATGCATTACTGGGGACATGACAGATTTTTCCACTGAGCACATGAGAAAAAATACCTATATAGGTACAGCAAATGCTCCATTACTTTGCGATCTGTAATTTGAGAGAGAATTCCCTTTGAAGATATCAGAAACACAAAGTACCTAACAGGCATGTTTGCAGGGTTGCAGATCGGTGCTGCTGCGTTCAAAATTCCATACGGAACAGTTATTCTCTTCCCAGTGAAATATGTTTTACCGTGACATATGCTTAAATAATCTAACTCATTCCTACCTCAGTCTGCTGCCAGTATGAAGAGTGCAACTCCATATAGTTTCTCACGACATCCAACAATAGTTGTTGATTTAACCGTTATACTTGTTGCAAAATTGTTAGTTTATATTGTCTGTTTTTGTTAGGTTCAAACTACGTAGGCTGCTTCTTCCGCCCTAGGAAGTTAATCCTTAACTCTACCATAGGAATAACACGATTTGTTGGATAATTGAATAATCAATCTTGGTGGGTGTTCGATCACGTTTTATTGAACAAATGCAATGCATCCGACGTAGCCTCAAAAGACTTCATGCATTAACAAAATACATGGTGGTAATCGATGGCGCCAAAGATATTGAGTTTCTTTTACCTGTATGCCCTAGTAAGTTATGTGTGATATCTACTGGTAACGACAGTGTGTAGGTTAAGAAAATGCCATGCGTTATTTTGTGATTTAGACGGTTAGATTAGATTAGCGCTTGGCTGTCTTGTGAGTACAACATACGCATATGTCGGCTAAATCATAGGCTCGCACAGAAAAGCAGGTTTCTTGAGCAAACAACTTATAATTAGTAAACAAATCCCCATGTTCAAAGACAAGATTGTCAGCAATTTATCAAAGGAACTTACTTTTACTATCGGTGCTGGGACACTATAAGTAAAATACTTGCAAGCACCACTATAAAATAGTAAACATCCAAACTAACTCGCTGTGTTCGGAGAGTTAGGATTTGGAGGATGAAAGTTGAGTCATTAACAGAGGTTGTGCCATAAACCAATTTATATGTCGTTCTTCGTACAAATTCCTGAAAAGGGGAACCGCCCTAGCTTGTTAGGATTCGATATACCTGTTTGGTTTATAGATTACCAAAATTCAATGCTTCTGTTATATATCTTTACTGCCCGACGTAATGCGTTCTCTGTAATCCTTCCAGCTACGTTTGTTTAAGCAATGTTAGTATATTATATAGCATAATGTCAGGAGTATGCAGCAGCTTTATTTTGGTCCAATGATTGGCGTTGTTCCGCTGTCGCATTTTGAAATGATAGGCATGATATTAATTATCGTAATGCGACCCGGTTAGTTCCACCATAGACATCAATCGTGAGTTAACACAATTAGCACAGTCTCCTTGACCTAGCGGTAGTGCTGTTTAAGTCTAAACCTTGTGGATTTCGCGCACCGGTAAGCCGTCAATATCTATATTTGCAATATCTGCTAAGCAATATATTCCCACCTCATTACCTTTATATAACTGCATTCCTGCGGATGTATCTTGTTTTAATTTCAGTAATCCGAATCATGCCTAGCTTGTTAAGTATACAAGCAACATCAGGTGCTTAAGGATGTATCAGATTAATCGACGCACTACTCGAAACATAGCCAGTAAGCACCTTTGTTTAGTCGGCTGGATCTCACACATGCTCCCACCAGTCCTACTACAAATGAATTGTCTGGATGTAGAATAACACTCTGTAAGTACCGGCAACTGAATATGATAATAAAAGTAAGTTTGGGGCAGGCACATTTTTGAGGGCCCACCACGTTTTATTGGGCGGTGCATTTCATGGATACGCACAGCATGAGGAAACGCTTAGGCGTGCTTACATTTTGATTTAGCTAGTGATACAGTCGCGTATATTTTGCTTTCCGCTCAGCTAATTAGGAATGTGTTCATTGATTCGGATACCTAGATTCCCACATTCTTACTAAACATGGCTGTCTCCATATTCATAAACGAAGTTGTAAATTCAATGGGAAGTGCAAAGATTCGACACCGGCGTCTTCACTGAGCACTTAAGCGATGCTGATGTTCTTGATACAATCTAGCATTCTCTGCTGCATTTTATGCCTTGTACTTTTAGTCTCTCTTTTGTATTGCGGCGATTTGCACACAAACGACGTTTTACAAAACAATAAATGTGTTGCAAAGTGTTGTATGTTTTGCAACTCGAACTGGACACTCTTTTTGGAAGCAGGAAATCAGCAAATTTTAGCCATTTTGTTTGCATAAAGCAGCTGAAAGATGTGCAAATCACACTGTAGTAGGACACATGCAATTCGAATTATGCAATAAAGGAAAGCTAGCGCAAGCCATTCGTGTGCTCATGAAAGGCGTCCCCCTGGAATGAACGCAGTGAGTCAGGTCTCCCGTCTCCCTATCGGCCTTCGCCGATTGCTTGTTTGTGTGTGTGCGAACCAGTTCAGTTGCGCGACTTAGCAAACATGGCAGGCTGTTTTTATCACAATACCACTGTATAGACCAAGGTGAACACGCATCCCCAAACAGCACAGACGGTGCAAGCAAGCGCCCCCGACAGCATAAGCGCTCCTCATGACCCTTGTTTTCGTAGAAAATTAGTCAGTTACCAAGCTGCTAAAGTCACAGATGTCAGCAATCGCGTAGAAAAGGAAAATCACCAAATTGATAGAGTTTGTCGCATACAGCCGACAAATCCGATAACTCAACTACCAATCCCGACGCCGGAAGTCCAACCGCTGTCATCTGTATGGCAGGTGCCTGCCTGAAAATGGAGGATGGGTCGGGCTATATCACGGTTAGCTAACAGTTCATGGTAGTCGGCTACCACCCGCATGGGTCAGCGGCATGATCTTCGAGCTAGTTGGGGCAAGCCACCAGCAGTTATGGATTTAATCGGTGGAAGCAAACCGAAGGATGCGTACCACTGACAAGACACAATATGGCGAAACGGCCTTCCGCTGCATTTTGTATCGGTAGTTGAGTTATATGAAATGTCGGCTGATTGCGATGATTTCAATAAAACCCACCAAATTCCTTTTACTCATACGTGAAATAATCAATGCCTAAAGATTTTAACGTAGCATTACTAAACGCAACTGTTCACGAAATTACAAAGCAAAGCTGGCTCCAGCTGTTCTACAAGGCCTTACAGTAACATTTGTGGAATGTTCTAAGGACATCATGTTATATTTATAACAGTGACTGAAAAAGAAAAGCATCCACAAGCTCTCCGATGAACATCTGCACTACTGCAAGCACTATCGTTGACAATCTTGAGTAAGCAGTACCTCGGGTATCCATCATTAAAATCAACGTCAAAATGCAACCTCATAATTTGGGCAGAATGCTTGTCGATGTACACTTTAAATTACAATGGTGTCTTTATTCCTATAAATTCGGATATTCAATATTTGTGTCTTCATGTCTCAATGAACACCCAATATCACTAAATTAAGCATAATTATTTACATTCTGCTACCTCCTATCTCTTATTATTTATTGGTTTTTCTACGGATATAGCACTTATTGAAAATAATAGTAATATGCACTGCCAAAATTGGTATTATAGTAAATTTGTGGTAAACAGCAGCGTACATCTATAGGCATTACTTGAGACATCCAGTGAATTACCTACGTCAGTGACGAACCACCCGGAGAAAAGCTGTCTGTAAATTAAACAAGATGGATAAAAATAGGATACTAAGTATAAGATCGTTTTCGCCTCATAAGCTGCACCATGCTCTGAACGTAGCTGACGAACGATGAAAGTGTGAGACAAAACCAGTGTAAGAGCAAATCACTTAAACGTCCCATAGGTAGTCGCCGTTTCTTCCGTGGACTGCTCCCATTTACACCTATGCTTAGTTGCCTGAGGAAATCTGGTTACATTTCGGCAGCTATTTGTTTCGTAGAACATACAACTGCACCCTAGAATTGGGGCCTTTGAAATGCCTCGCAAATTCAGTGGGATTCCTAATAGAAGGTAAAAAATAATCCATGTTTACAGCTACAGTCTTTGCTGATTTATCTGGTATCATAAGTGAAATAGTCTTTATTAACACAGTACATTGACAGTAAACTTTTATTACCATCAAGGTACTCTCAGATCATTTCAAAAGTGCTGGAAGACTGTTTAAACAATTTACTGCTTTTACTACTCGTATCCGTTTAGCTGTTTTTCTAATACGCATAATCTTCTGCTTTAATTTTAGCTCATCGCGACATGAGTCGATGCCATTTGTAAACTTTTGCACAAATCTCATCCTTTGCGCCAAATTAATATTATTGATGTGAATCAGTAGCAAGTGCGGAAGAATGGTAGTCATAAATACACCGCAGTTCTGGCACATATTTTTTGTCAAAATAAAACACTTTATTTTTTGTTATGCTTGAGTTAGATATATATAGCATATTTATTCCAATGTCAGCTTGATGTCAGTTTCGTACAGCGCCTACTCAACTTTGAGTCTTGCCGTGTTCATTAATTGTATTGTAATTCCACGGTGAAAGTCCGCGGTTCTCAGATACTATGGTTACTGAGCTGTACATGTCATGGTTGATTTTATTTATTCGTTATAACCGCTAAAAGCTGATGCACAATCCCCATCCGGGAAAGCAACAATCACGTGTTTTCCCTATGTTTCCGTATGTTCAATCGTGATTAAAGACGTAATAATGTGTTAACTTCTCCAATATTTTGCGTATATATTAAGGCCCAAACAAAGAATCTGTGAAGTGGGCATTACTGAAACTTTGACGACTTTATAGGTTACAGGTGATTAGTCGAATTTTGCTATAAGTTAACGCGGGTCCTTCGCAGTTGTTTTCTAGTCCGACGCGTCCCGATTATCCGGATACAAACAAGCTGACTGAATCGTTATATCGGAACATAAAGGCAATTGGCAAAGACAAATTACCTGTAACTTTGGGAATCATTTCAAGAGAGCCCTTCTCTGTTCCATCAGAAATCAAACCGGTGGCTTCGCAACACCAAAGATTTAGCCAAACGGCAACGACTGCTACGAACAATAACGTGTTGAAAATCATTTGACCGAAACAACCACCAGAAAAGCATGTACAGGAACGCCGCACATAACACATATTTGGATCAAATCTGCCCTTCGTGAACTTCCATATACACGAGGCACTGAAGGAAGGGAAATATTTTACCGCAGTTGTACTATAGGGGATAACGTTCTGCTATCCTCACTTACGGCTTAAGTATAGTTGCCACTGTTTAATGATTAGGTACTCTTATCGATAGCTAATGGATTTGTCTTTCCGTACAGCCAAGGGATGCACAATACCGAGAAGCGCAGCAGGGACAATGCGGCAGTTGATTATTCTATCGGATAGGTGAGACGTCATCCAAGGGGCGATTTTTTGTCATAAGCATAAGATGCCTGCGAGCCGGCTGAAGCTCTTTAGTAAGAACATGGATTTTACTTAATCCACTGCGGATACATCCGATTGCACAAGTATTTCAAGTTAATCCTTGACGTCCATTCTCTAATTTGTTTGAGGAAACCACAAGATATTGCGCCATCTATTGATTCTTCATCAAGCAACTTTTCGTAAAAGTGGTATGGTGCCTTCCTTTTCGAAAAACCGTTCTTCAATTTTTACCATCAACGGAATGCAAAGTCGATGTGTTCTACCCAGAAATGTGTGATTGTTCAATCCTAATACCGGACCGTTTATTAGTGACACTTATACATAGCGTTTCTCTTACATGCGTATAGAGTAAAATCTGTTTTGTTGTCGTATTAGGTCATTCGTGGGAAATATTTTGAAATCCTGAAACAGACATAATTGGGCAAATAAAGCTTAATTTGATTTAACCTGTCTTGTTGAAAGCGGCATTCATGCACTTCATTTAATGACGTCACTTCATGAAAATTTTGACCAGTGCTACTAAACCTGAGTTCAGCTATAGGAAAAAAACAAATAAGATCAATAGGCAAAAGTTTGATGATTTTGAAGTCAGAGATAGAAGAACTAATGGAAGTTAACCTAGGATTTATCGTGGGGACAATTTCGTAAAAATGTTCGTAGTATGTATGTTACACTATCCGTAGGGAGAGAGGGAATAACCAAATAACTTATAACCACATTTGGTTCAGCGAGAATAATCATGCGTTCTTCTAGCAGCCACTATATTTTCAAAGTGTTGCTGATCCATTTCTTCATGACAGCTAGCTGAAGGCAATGTGCAAAAATTAGCATAATGTTGTATTGTTCTTCGTTACTGGTCAATTTTCCATTGTATGAACTCACACGCGCTATTTGTTACTGCAGCAATGGAGTTACGTGAACTCTTTGATGAATTTGATTGGTGCTTAAGAGTTCTCGAGAAGCTTGAATGCAAGAGATCAGTGAGCAGTCTGACAATGCGCAAGGTGAGCACCTTTGGTTAATTCATATTCAAGATGCCGGCAAATTTGCATGCCTGTTACCTAAGCTAAAGCATTACTGGTTCATCCTTTACAATCGTAATGGGCTAAGCAGACATAGCTACTGTGTAGTGAATGTGGTAATCTTGCAGGCCGTCCACTTGGAAGTTGCGTAGGCGAGGTAGCCTATATCCCAGTTAGCTTGCAAGTTCAGGCAGTCTGCCTCCGTTCCTCATGGCGCGGTGACATAAGCTGCTAGCCTGTTGGCTGCTAACGGTCATTGGTTGAACCCCAGCAAGCAACCGAGGGATCGCGAAATGTTGACGAGTATTAATTGTGCAAAACGATCATCTGGTTCTTTTCCGGAGTTGGTTAGCCTAACCTGGCTTGTAAGCAGTTGAGCTAAACCAATAAAATTGTCTCAAAAATCTTCATACTTATAGGTAATCAAGGCATTCAAAGTTAGACAGTGACCACCACGCGGACACAGCTACTGTGTAGGGCAATTCGTCACCTCGGAGTCAAGCAAATTCATCTGCAATGGTATGAACCTACGTGGAAGTGGAGGATATGTTGCACCATGTCCCAGTTAGCTAGCAACGTTGACGGTTTGCCTCTGACCCCTATGGCTTCAGTACAAAAGATGCTGGCAGGCTATCGTAAACAGTTAGCCACATGGTTTCAATCCCAAGAAGAAAACCGACGAAATAAAAAATTCCGACGAGCCCAAAAATATGGCGAATCAATCTTTGGTGCTGTTACGGATGGATGCTCGACTAACTTGGCTTACGGGTAACTGGTATAAGCAAATAAAAGTGCCTTCAAATGGCTATTAGGATTGATTGAGTTTATTTCTATGGCAGTTAGCCCTATCTGCTATTGATGAAAACATAGATTTCCTTCGATTTAAGAATCGGCAATTCCATTGTCCAATCGTTAAATCTATATTGACATGTTTTCCCTAAACTGATTCCTGTCAATTTATTAAATGACATTATTCGTAAGCACATTTCATGTGGATCAAACTAATGGACAAAGCAATATAAAACTGATGATGATGATGTGCTCTGACAAAATATAATTGTGACTCAGTGTATTTTAGAAGAAACAGCGTATGTGCTACGGATTATTTTTGGTATATTGTATTTACTTGGAAGAACAATTGAGCAATACAGATTTAAAATCGTATACTCCTAAATATTAGGTGGAAACGTAGCTTTTCATGAACGCAATGTTCATTTTACCACAAAGTTAAAAACTGTAGGACGATCTACTTTAGTATAACTATCGAAATCGTTCGAACTCAGATAAATAAAAAGTCAGATTGTCTGCATTCAATACAAATACATTTTTAAATCATTTTCTTAACCGCAGTTTTTTAACAAGTAGCCAACTTTCTTTCCATTACTGCAATATTCTCTATGTTTTAAAGGACATGTGAAACATTTTACCCAACATTCCAAGCTGCATGGAACAAATTTAGGACATTAATAACTGATGAGGTCTACCACTTGGTTATAATCAATGATAAGCAAATATTGGGACGAAGCAGTTAACATCCTTTAGACACTGAGGAATTGGCTCTTAAATTGCAGTAAAATTCAGCTAATTTAAGGTTACGATGGCAGCTGATTCATAAGAATAAACGCTGTAAGGAAATGGAAATCGAGCTAGCACTTCGTAAGCTGCGTAAGCCAGACCGTCTAGTTTAAAATTCGTAGCATATCAAATAAAGTAACATACGACGTCGACTATGTTGATAAATTGCTCATTAAAATCTACAAAACGAAGGCTCGATTTAAACCTGAAGAGGCTAAAAGCCATCTTTATGGTGTTGCGTACATCGGTTAAACGTGTACTAGAATGTGATTTAGCGTATTCAAAGCATTTAGCTAAATGAAAATTGCTCTACTAAATTTCATGTTTGAAAGTTTTGCAGTATGCTGAGTCGTGAATTGTCTACATCATTCTCGACGAGTGACGCTTTCACCGGCACGATGGCAAGTGAAGCGAACGAAGAGACAATGTCACGCGAGGAGTCAGCAGATGCTGTGGCTACCAGCGTCGAGAATATGAAGACAGAATTTCGCAAAGACACACCGCAAGAGCGATTAGATGGATTCCGGCCTTATTTATCGCAGAATACCAATCGAGGACATCTCAGTGCCCAGTCCACTGCGTCAAGTCAAATTTGCGACTACATTTACGGTACATTTGTGGAGGATGACGAGATCACTGAGTTGGAGCTAGCCACGAATAACACCGGAAATGATTCCAAACGGTTGAATCGGAAGGCACAAACAAGTCAAATTCCATCCGATGAATATTCCTGCTGCGAGACAAACAGTCAATCAAAGACAGTGCAGTCAGAAGAATGTTTGAAAGAAAAATCGGATATTCCGAAATATTTAATAAGCCTTTGGAATGAAGCGGGGTCCACATTTGACAAGCAAAACGTGCTAGATGTAAGCGTCAAGTATTTCTAGTTATCACTTCTAATTTCCCCGAATTACAGTTAAATAATGTTTAAAATGTAAGCCGTTGAGCATTATTTCCACATTATTTACGCTACATACAGCGAACTAATATTTCGTCTGGCTGCAATGGTTTCGTAGATAAACGAAAGTAAAAGTCAAAACCACAAGAAACATCATTAAAATGCTACTCGAAAAGCGTTTGCGAAAACGAACAGCATCAGGATATTCCGAAACATTTTAAATTATTGCCTAACTGGGAGAAAGTGTTATTTACACAAAGTATACACAAGGGAATTTGGCGTAAGGGATCACTCGCGGTGGCTTAATGTATAGACTATTCTTAGTAATGATTTAGTTAGCATACACTTAAACAGAACTCGTTCCCTTTTTCACAAAAATGAGTTAGTTTTTGTTACGCTTAATCTTGAGATTTACAAGTAATTGGCATATTTCCGTACAAGATAAATTACTGTCGACTACAACATGATGTATGATAAATAAGAAACATTTGATGTAATAGAAAATCGAAACCTTGTCTAATGTAGGTCAACTAATCGATTGCAAGAAAAGGAGAGACAACTCCTACAATGTTAGACTACAAAAATGTCGTGGACAATGTTGCATATCACCAAAGGATGCGGAACACATCTTTAATCATACATACCGGGCCCCAGCTGGCTCAGACTTCCGTAACTATTTGCATGAAACAAAGACGTAGACATTCAATTCGAAGAAATGAAGTAACGTCTTATGGCCGCTGTAACTACACTGATGATGATTTAAATAACGGGCGACATTTTGATTGTAAAACACACATTCTTAGACTTGGATGTCGATTCCGCTATTCACTGTTGTTAGATGCTAAACGGGAATCGAGAAGAAAAAGATGAAGAGATAATGGAGATTCCACTACTTAACAAGGAAGATTAAGTAGTGTTCTAGTATGTTATCAGCAATTTTATGCTTTCATAAACTAAGTCGCCACATAGTGAGATGTGTACCTTAGTAATCAGCTTAGCATCCTACATGCCCTGTCAATTTACAGCGGCGTACAAAGGTAGTTGTAGCTCTGGGGATCAACCCTATCCCTTGCAAAAGTATAACATGAATGACAGTGGAAGATGAGCTGTCCTATATCGCAGCAGTATAAATAAATCACGGCTCAATGACATAAATCTTTGGAATGTAAGCGTAAGTTCATCTGTTGGTCTCTAGCAGGGTCCTAACAAGAAGAACCGACCTTCTAGTGCTTTCCTTGATGTGAGATGGCTGAGAATGGCTTCATGTAATCTTCTCAGAAACACGAAGATTCTCCATATAACTTTCTTACATAAACTGATGTTAACGGCTACCCATTGCCTCTCGTGTTGCTGTATTGGGCAAATACTAGAGAGATGTGTGGCAATCTGTCCTATGAAGTCGCCGTTAGTTGCGCCGCTTTGCAAAAGTGAAGTAGATACCCGACTGGTTTCAAGAAAGCAATGTGCTTTTGGATGATTGTTCATTTTCCTGCTGGATTATTAGTTACAGCAGGCTGTTTTAGCCGAACCCAATCAACTCTCTCGTACAACACATTCAACGTATAACAATTTGAGCAACGCATTCAAGTATGATGTTTGTAAGAACTTTTCTTTATAACTTTATCCGTGTCTCAAATTGCACAATTGTTTGCAGGGCTAATACTCGAGTTTTCGATCCAGCGCATTTGCCTTGGTTCTGTAATTTTTCGCCGTTGTAAATTTTGAATACCTCATGCTCTACTTGGACCAACCCGCAGATCTAGCGAAAAATATTTCCAACTGTAAATTAGAGCTACGGTGTTACATAAGCTGACCCATCTGCAAGTTTCGCCTTTCAGTGTTAACTGCCCTCTAAAACGGATGCTGCAGTCTTCATAAAAATAAACAAAAATAAAAGTTTATTTTTTGCGAGGCTGTACAAGCCTGTATGAATATAATTGGATAACTTCGTACTTTTATTGATCGTTAATCACGGGTGGATCAGGAAAATTGAACGTTAAATCAGATAATGACGATTGAAAAGACATCAGACACCTAATAATGCGTTGACTGGATCAAAATGTTGTTGTTTGATCTTTAACAGTTATTCACATGTAAAACAGCTAAATCACAAGGGAGAGTATGATGAAACATATACTAGGTCGTCTGTGAATATAGCCCTGCTCAGACACTAAGCTTGCTGTTATAGAACAATCAAACAGTTTGATCAAATGTTGTACATTCATGAGCTTGTTAGAGCTTTTGCGAAAATTGTGTTCAGGATTACAGACCGTATTCCAGGTGATAGCTTGTTCCATACTCTGGCGTACTTGTTAAGAAAACGGTTGGCAGACCTACAAGTTGTGTATGTGCATCCCGCCACTGATTTCTGTTTAGTTCCTGTGTAGTGTGCTGCTGATCGCATTATTGTCATACCGAGTTTGATAACATACATATTTCTGTGCAATATGTTGAAGAATATGATTAGGCACTGCTTTATGCGCTATAGCCAGCGAATCAAGATTGAGCTTATCGGAACTTTCAGAATTGTCCGGTTTTGAATAACAACCTAGGAGTCACTTCTTGGATGTTTTCCCTACTTGATCCACTGCATTGCGCTCGCGCTTTCTTGTGCTGTTATGCGGTAGTATTGAAAGAATTCCAGAGTATATTGAACTACTGATATGTAAGAATGAAAGATTGATTCATTTAGGGAAGACATCCTGATTACCAATTCTAATTGCTGCCTTGCACTCACACTGGCAAAGTCAACTTTTTTATAGGACTCTAGTAATAATGAATCTCAACGTCCCAGGTCTCTTAACAATAGAAAGGGACTACGTGATTTTCCATCAGTAGTCAAGTCGTTATCGGTTGGATGGTCGGCTTGTTCACATAAGTCAAGTGAGCAGGAATATCACAGTCCCGATATCCTAACAATGGATAGCGATTACGTGCTTGGACATCAAGAATTAGGCCGTTGTGAGACATTGCACATCATTTGTCAGGAGAGGAAAAGATTTTCACTTTTGAGCACCATTTTGAAAGCATATTCACCCTGTGTTGCGTAATGTTGACAGCATCATTAGGAGCATCCGGAGGGAAAGTGTATATGACTTTAGGTAACGTGTGTTGAATTTTACTATGTAGAATTTATCGCCAATATATTTTATAACAGCGGCCGAATGACACTGCGTGATAGTAATCTGCTGTTTTCAGGTGTTCGGTCCTATTTATATTTTTAAATTTTAACACCTGCATTCGATTTGTAAGGTAACACCTTAACCAAAAAAGCAGTGTTTCATTAGTCCTGCAAGAGATCACTTTGGCTATTCATTTTTTCTTAGCACCTGGGCAAGGCCTTTTGATTGCATAGGCGAATTAGAGTAGCCGACAAAATGAAATCATACAAGCAGTTAAATGATTTGTAAATTCCACATGGCACCTTTTGCAAAAGCAGGTTATTAAGAAGCCGTGTCTAGAGCTTATCATAAGATTTTTTGACATTATGAACCGAAAAGTGTTAGCTTTAATGTATCACTCCATAATTTTTGGTAAAAATAATATTGCCGTTTATTGGGCGATAATTTAAAGGCAAGCAGGAAGTTTCTGTTATATCGCGGCGAAACCATTACTTCTAATAACTAAATCGTAATAGTGCCAACGTACATGTATAAATTTAACATAATTATCAACAGCAGTGGATGTCCTTCCCGCCGGTGTTTACAACTATTGGGAAAATATGGCTTGCACATCGAAAAAGTGAAAATATTGCACAGCTATAAATTTTGATCGCGAAAGAAAACTACACGATATAATGTAGAGGGAGTAACTGGCCATTGAAAACCAGCCCAGGCCCCAATACTTACCGACATCGAAATATATATGTAACTATCGGGTTTCTTGAATGGAACTTTCGGATGCATATTCTATCTACATCATATATCTAGCATTGTTTTGGGGTTGTGTCTCCCTGAATAGTGCAGTACATTGCTTATTATGCTGATTACAGTGTACGCAATCGGGTGGATAGCTTAGCTATCCATCATAGTGCGATTTTGTGTTAACAAATGTTTGCTATCTTGAACTGCTAACAGCCGTCATATGGTACATAAAACGCTCTGCGTAATGATTTGATAGCATGTTTCTTAGCATCAAAGAATAAAAGAGCATATTTATCTTGCTAATTCATATGCCTACAAATCAGCGGTAAATTTAGACACCATGTTTGAATAAAATTTTACTTAACATGGTTTCCAATGTCAAAATATCACGGGTTCCGTTGTTATCGAGTCGATTTAACCAGCTTATGTTTTTCATTAGCTATATGTGTTAAGATTAACAAATTCGGTTGGTTTGGCTTGTAAAGATATGGGCTAAATTCTGACCACTGTTCCCAAATCCTTATCCGGTTTCTAGGATTCAACTGTACTCGTTTAGTAGGAAGTAACTGACACCTTGTTATGTCTCGTTTCATGTGTCATCAACGCAAGGTAACCATCATTGCATCATTTACTTGCACTTTGTCGAAGTTAGCACCACTTATTCATCTGAAGAAGGAAATAGGACTACCACCATTGTGATCAGTATAAACACAATATATGCAATGGCATTCAAAAGAATGAATGCCAACTGCATTCCTAGATTAACGTCATGCTGATTATTAATTGTTCTCTCTGATCCCAGTTTATCCAGTCATATCAAGACTCCTACTCTCCCGATCTTTTCAACCTACACACACTGAGTTGCTGTCACACACTGAGCACATTCGGACTGTACACGTTGATGGTAAGTACAACGAGTAGTTGCAGTTTTACTATTACATGGATGATTCACGTTTCTTGAACCGTATAGTATGTAATGGAAAACGTTGCGACAACTAGTACCAACGTGATGATGATAATCCGGTTGACAATTTCAGCAGCACCAACATGTAACAGCACACTTGCATAAATTACTTGCTAAGGAAAAAGGCTCGTGGTTGGGGACAATTCTTTTCGCACTTATTAGTATAGTGCTGTTATTTTGATTAACTTTGATGCAGAGTTTTAAAAATACCTTTCTGGGTGCTGCAGGTAAATAACGAACAATATAACAAATTCTTCTACTTAAGCAAAAGTGGTGTTTCACCACCTTGATTGATGTGTAGATTTCTCAGATACACGTCAAAGACACAATTTCTTCCGTTGTCATTTCTAGTCTATTACGTTAATCGTTTTCTGCTGTTAGCGTGTTTTGTGCTGATGTCATTATGTTTGTGTTGTGCCGTGCACTGAATCTGCTACTTTCAAATTTACATCTCAATATGTATGTGCCGATAAATAAAGGCATTTGCCATGAGTTCATTCAAATAAGCTCAATTTCCTTTCATCTAACGTAAACACGGTAATAAGTAACAATATACTCATACAAGCTTGACGTCGAAAAATTCCATGACTGTTAAGCGACTAACATTTCCGGAGGTAGTCTGTTTCTAGGTGGACGTTAGAAGATCAGTAGATGTTTTAGAATCATTGATTTTGGCACACGCTTTTAGCACAGTTAGTAAACAATTAAGTTGATTAATTAGGTTATCTCAAAGCACTACACATCCTATTTGCAGAGCTGCAGCAGTCAACATAGTTAAGCGAAATTTTGCGTCCTGATCTGAAGTAGTTAGCAAGAAGTGACAAATGGGCTGAGCCCACGGTAGTGATAACTCTGCTCAAACTACGCGCTTATCTGCAGAATTAGCAGCGTTACTTATCAAGGCAGGAGAAACAGGGTAGTGCGTGGGGGTGACTACATAGGTGGATGCAAACTAACTCCGTTAACGAACTGAAAACAACCGTTATATTGTGTTATCTGAGCTTCACATCCATGGTGCGGCTGAAATTACTTGCCATATTAAACAGTTTGGTTGAATCAGTTATACAACTACGGATATGCAGATGTCATATTCTAAAGTTCAGAGTTAATTACAATCACCGTAACTTTCAAGAAAAATAACTTTTCTATCCTGAGTAAGTAACTGTCAACTTGTGAGTGAATCATGCTCACTGACTGTGCAGTTTAGGCTAACGGCTTCTACAAACCATGCGCTCACATCAAACGCTAATGGTGGCATTCCTTTTGCGATTTTCTCCTCCGAATACCATAAATGAAAAGCTGAATTTGACAAAAAATTAAAATGAGAGGAGTTTGTGCACTTTAATATTAGTACTTAAGTAATAGTATTAGGTAGACGGGTTTTGTACGTCGCTCCAATCGTCCATTTTGAACTCTTAGGAAAAACGAGTTCAGCGACAAATGGGTTAGTAACTTGCACCTTGAAAAAAGTAAATGACAAAATTGCATAAATGGTGGAGTGAAGAGTACATGTTAAAATTTTGTCTTATTTAAATGCATTTGTGTCGATGTATTCAACCAAAAAATGTCAATGGCGCAGGTCCAACTGGGTTAAATCCAGTCACAATTCACGGCGACGGTGACCGCTTAAAAATAAAACCGAAACTGGCATAATATCCGAAATGGCATTAAAGTTCAACCAGCAAAAAACAATAGATAAAATTAATGGTCAGCGTACCGAATACCTTATCTGAACACATACCAATAGAGTCAGATGTCCCTAAGGCTCAGGTATACATCCAAGAATGATTTTGGTATCCCACAATAACCTAGCACGCAAAATCACTACACATTTCAACTCGATTGCAGATGATATCAAGGCACTGCACCGGATGTAAGCGATACAGAACAGAAATAACACCAGGGTGACACAGTACGTGATGTCAGCTCGAAAAATTTACAAATAAACCCGGCAAAAGAAAGGCATATTGCATACGAGAACAGAGTAGGAATCCTAAAAGGTAGGAAAAAAGAAATAAAGCAATCCTTGGTCAAACGCAACCATGGCGTACAAGTTCAGAAAAACATGGATAACTTCAAGCAATCAGCAAAGCCATCAAAAATGATAACCAACACATCGCCGTACAAGGAAGGGCCTCGGGAAAAAATATAACACGGATGTTAGCGCATTGTACCAAACTTTTAGCGTGACACATTTTCCAATTAGCGTGCAGTGCTTTTCAGTTAGCGAGGCTAAGAATGCTGTTTTGGCGTTCTTGACACTCTCACTGGTCATGGGACGTTAGCCAATGAGACACCGGTTGGAAGCCCCGTGCATAAGCGACAGACAGTCCAATGAAAGTGGTCGAGCATCAACTTCTGTTCTGTCTTGATGCCCATCTGAAGTAAACCTCGATGATTGGTCTCCAAACTGAAACCGTCCAATAGGCAACTTGTGATGCCTGTCTAAGGAGGAGATCTTAGCTACCACATGATTCGAAGCTTACGCCGTAACGAGTGCGGACGAACAGTCAAACCATCACATGATGCAGCCTATAATGATCAATCTATAGGCACTTCCTGGTGGCGGCTTATGCAGCGGTCTAACGATGGTGGCTAGACGGGCAATATTCTAACTGGTATTCCGCAGTCCCTGAGGTCTGAGGGAGTGAGGAAGGCCTGCATTTGCGGTTAGTCAGGCATGCGCCGTGGCTTGGACACTGCAGACCCAAACCTGAATCAGCGAAGGCTGCTAGGCGGTTAGACAATTTGTGCAATTGTTACTGCGACGATCATGGGAGACATTGTTCCCATTGAAGTTGGTAGACCAACCTGAAGCTGAACAACGAAAGTTCTATGGGTGCTCACTTCTATCACAGTTGATGACTAAACACAAACTAAGAGGATTCCAAGTATGGCGTTGACACAACGTTAGTGAGTGTTTGTTTGCCTCCACACCCATGGGCGACTTTGTTAGTCAGTTATCGCTTCAGTGTCTCCAGGTATGGCGTTAGTTAAAGGTCATAGGAACCTAGGTATTCATAAGATAATTAGGCTTTACTTCCATATGGTCACCCACAGGTGTTGCGACGTTTTGCCAAGTAGCTCTCCGAATGGCACCATTAGAAGCACAGTCAACGCAGATGAAACCCCCTATTACGTCCATGGACTGGAATACTATCCTCATGAAATCGGCATTACGCAACACTGCAACACCTAACGGGGCTACAACGACTAACGTATTTATACATGCCACATCGTCCTGCTAGATAAAACGCAAAGGCCCATAATTAGTGGCGACGCACGCATTTTAATCTGGGGATTCAGGTGAGTACTTGGAACAGAGAAACACTGTTGTCCCACCCACCGGCGTTCCTACAGCATGTTTGCAATCATTTACAAAGGCAACTGCGCCCACTAATCCTGCTAGGGACTACTATTTCAGTCTGTCTTAGAAGACCACATGTGTGCACTCCGTGACACACGTCGCTATCGAATTAGCAACTACTCGGAAACATTGCGCCATTGGAAAGTAGGTAATTTCACATGCATTGTTGAAGGAGGAGAATTGCTCCAAATCTTATGCTTACACTGCGTATGCGGTGCTTTTTGGCAGGTCCTATCTGGGCCGTAGGTTACCTTATATTTTAAGCTCATCAATCGCATGGGAGTGAGGTGTAAATATCATGTTGAAACGCGGGATTGATAGACATCTACAACCTTTATGTAATGGCAAATTCTTGGGTACCGAAGACGTAACTGATTACCTAAGTGGCCCACAGGTGTGGAGACGGACGAACAAAGTAATATCGTGTCACCGTCACACTAGGAACCCTCCTCGTTGGAACAATGTCTACAGATCCACTGAAAGTTTTACCTACCCAGCGCCGACTACATCATCATTACGTATCTACACTATTCACATGAGTGTAGGGCCAACTGAAACAACACAGCATAGGAATCTTGTAGCTGTAAAGGCTTTAAAATTTCTATTTGCGCATAAGTCTCAACTTTATCTCCTTCATACAAAGTACAGCATTGTTTCTGATTATCTCACACGCATTTCCTAAACGCAATCGCACACGTATCGATTCTTCAGATTGCTCGCAGTGGCACGATTACACTGTGCATACCGTATCAAGTGTGGTGAGATAGGCAAGCGAGCAAGGAAGGCAACCGCCGTACAGTCCACCCGTAAACGTTCAAAGCTTCTCTTCCAAGAGCCTGCAAGCATTTCAGCCGCAACAATATCAACCAATTCGCTTTTTATTACCACTCACTTAGATGTTATCTCGCTCGCTTGGTAGCCAAACCTCCTTACGCCAGATTGGCTGCATGACCAATCGCGTATTATGTCTCTGATTGGCTGATCACCCTCGAGACCATAGAAGTGTGCTGATACACCGATTGAGATCAACATATAGACGAGTGACCAACCGAGCCAATTGTACAACGAACCAGCAAGCCTATTACCAGCCTGCAGGTAGTTTTAAACAAGACAAGCGTTCGAAAGTGGGCTTTTGTTTAAAACTACCAGCACATCCTGTGCCCCACCAATGCGCACTTGAAGGAAAGCCGAGGCGTTCCCTCTGAAGAAAGACCGTCCAATCGACATGATCGAAAGCATCCATACGACTGCACGCACGCACAGCGTCACAATTGTTAGTCTTGCCTTTGGTATGGCCGCAGCTTCAACTGCAAGTGCATCGCGTGATACTCGGAGCTGGTTTATCCCCGAAAAATGTACGCAGATTTCGCTGCGCTCACCACCAACATACAATCACCATAATCGGACAGACTGCGCAAATAACAACTGATTCGTCCTCGTTTTTTCGGGGATCAACCAGCTCTGCAACAAGTATTTTCATCTGTCTGGATCCACTTTCGTAAACAGAAACTTGCCCGCGCGAAATCCATTCACGTGACTGGTATTGACCAAGGCGTGGGGCGCGAAAACAGAA